GAGAAAGGGGGAGCAACAAGAGCCGGAGAGAAAGGGGGAGCAACTGAGAGGTGCATATGATGCAAACAGAGAGGGGAAAATTCAGAGAAAACAATTTATTTTTAGTTCTACCTTATGATAGCCTAATGATAGTGTTAAAAATATTTTTAAAAATGGAAAGAAATTAATAAACCAGGAATAATGAAAATTAAACGAGCATCTGGAGAAATTATCAAACATATCAAGTCATGCTTGTTAGACATTCAATATCATATGGAAACTTATTTTTATTAGCTATAAATATGTATGTGTGAATAGAACCAGGAATTATTAGCAGACAATTATGATCTTTTGCATCTATGAACAAAAGAGAGAGGCATAGTTTGATCCGTAATAAGGGAGAGCATGTAAGATGATAGATGAAAAGATTAAATGACCATGTGGCTAACAGAAAAAGAAATTAGACACAAATGCATTGATAGAACAAAGAAGAGAATTCTTCAATATTTGAAATGTAATTCTACATCCTGAACAGTCAGATTTTACTATACCAATCAACATTTTCACAAAAAAAAAAAAAAAAAAAAAAAAAAATTAGTATTAACCAACCAATGTTGATAAAATTGTCACTGCTAGGTGTTGACTTCAATGTTCACTTTTATACTTACATATGCTCTATACCTGATATTGATCACTTTAACTCAAAGTTAAACCCAACCTGTTTTAGGCTTATACACAATTGTCAGGCTTGATGATCGCTTACAAGCATGAAACAAACTGTCAACACCCATTTATATATATATATATATATATATATATATATATATTTTTTTTTTAATTCCTGTAAGTTCACTGCTACTAACATGCAGAATTTTTTTTTCGCCTGATGATGGCCATGCTGGCTGAAACTAGTTGATGATCCTAATTGAAATAATAAAACAAAAAATATTAATATACAACCCAGTGTGTCTGAAAATTTAAATTTTTTAATTTCTCAATATCTTTTATTTTTCAAAATTATATATATATATATATATATATATATATATATATATATACACACATACATACACACACACACACACACAAGTATATTTTCACAGCAATTATACTTCCAGACAAGTTTGGTTAAATTTGAACAAGGTCTGTTTGTTTAATATTTTATTGTATTTTTCTAATTTTCAAATAAGGTGTATACCAGGATACAAATTATAAATAAATTGTCTCAAGTTCATATTTATTCCATTTTGTTCTTATAACCATTTCAGTCATTAGCAAGAATCATTGATCCTGATATATAACATCTTATTCAAAAATTGGAAAAATACAATAAAAAAATTAAACAGACATACTTTCTCAGATGAATTCAAAAAAATTGTCTCCTTGTATTTGTTTGTGTATAAAGGTCTGTTATATAATTGATCCTGACCTGGCTTCTCAACTTCAGTCATTTTCCCACCAATGTGACCTGGCCTCCCTTTACCTTTTCTACAAATATTTTCATGGCAAGTGTTCTGATGAGATTTTGTCCTTGGTGCTTCAAGTGCATGAGTTTAAGCATACCTCTAGATTGGCGACTAGGTCTCACCATTTTACCATTGAACTAGCTAGATGAAAAAAGTCTCTTCCATTCTAACAGTTCCTTTTCTCACACTTTTTGCCTGTGGGACTCCCTTATGATTTCTTGCTTCCTTGCTTTCTACAACCTTCAAAAATTTAAATGTAATGGCAATCACCATCTTTATGATCTCTTCAGTAAAATCTTTTCCCTTTCACTCCTATGGCATAATCGCCTTGCTTGGGATGAAATTATGTATGTGTGTATATATGTTTGAATAAAAGACAGACCACGTTAAGATTCCATGTAATAAGCTATTTCACCATAACCCCCTTAACAGGGTTCTGGATCATCAGACTTTACTTCCAAAAGTTGAAATGAAAAATGAAAAGAAATTCACACGTTTTTTACGGACCTCATCAAGTATATGCAAAGTTAACGAAGTGAGGAAGTGAGGTGTGAGAGAGGATATGAGTGTGTCATATGTATCATTTTAGTTTTCTATTTTAACCCCAGTGTGTCGGCTGGATGTTGTTCAAATTTAACGCGTCTCGTCTCTAGATAAAGGTGGCTAAGGGGTGAACGATAAGAACTACATTAAAGGAAGACGTTACAACAACCCCAATAAATTACACGACAGGTTTAATTCAAATTCTTAGACGCTTATATATATATAAATAAATAAAATCACAAGTTGTGTAAGCTTTAGGGTAGCAGAGACACATGTACTGCAACCTTGGCTGCCAGCACCAATGGGTCTTGATTTGAGTTCAGTTGTCCTTTTTCTAGACCGATTGCTAAGCAAGGTTAACAGGCCCAGTCTTCTCTCTTATGTACCTATAGCTTAAAGAACAGATAGAGCCATAACCTTCCCTACACTATTTGTGCATAAGTGAATGTAACTCAATTCTGTTTTCTCATTCCGATCTATTATGCCACCCGCACATCCATTATATGTATCTAACTTGTAAATACAAACTATTTTCCACTATTTTCCATATCCATAAACATACAAAATTATAAGTAAAGTATATAGCATGACGCATACACACTGCCATTATATATATATATATATATATATATATAGGAAGCACAGTGAAATAGTGGCTCGGATTGAGGAATCGGAGAGCCAAGTTCGAATTCCAGTTAAATCCATTACATTCACTTATATGCTAATACCCTTCGGAAAGGTGTTAATCCTCTTCTCCCTCCAGCTATAGGTAATTAGCAGGACAGACTGGGTTCTATAGCCTTGGATGGGAACTTTGAATTCAAAATTTGCAAAATCTGGTCTCTGTATTTGGCTCTTCAAAAAGTGTGGTTTGTTCTGCACAAAGTCTTTACTACTATAATCAAATCATATGTGCTGGTGTCTGGGCTGTCGGTTCCTAGGAACTGAGCTGCTTGACCCTCATACATTGGATTTGATGGGAGAGTCCACCATATATATATATATATATATATACAAATCTCTTAAATGATAGAGTTTTGCGTATGCAAGTTGATTTACATAAATGCAAATTCATATCAGTGAATTACAAATGCATACTATAAATGCTTGATTTAGTACACCCTCTCAAGTAATCCACACTTTCCCCAAGGAATTTAAAATAAGCACCCTCTCAAATAAATAACCCTTTTCCCCCAAGAAATTTAAAGTAAGCACCTTCTCAAATAAGTAACCCTTTTCCCCCAAGAAATTTAAAATAAGCACCTTCTCAAATAAGCACCCTGTTCCTCCTATGATTTTAAAATAAGTGCCCCTCCCCAAGGAATTTAAAATAAGCACCACTCTCAAATAAGTGCCCCCTTATCCAAGGAATTTAAAATAAGCACCACTCTCAAATAAGTGCCCCCTTATCCAAGGAATTTAAAATAAGCACCACTCTCAAATAAGTGCCCCCTTATCCAAGGAATTTAAAATAAGCACCACTCTCAAATAAGTGCCCCTTATCCAAGGAATTTAAAATAAGCACCACTCTCAAATAAGTGCCCCCTTATCCAAGGAATTTAAAATAAGCACCACTCTCAAATAAGTACCCTAAGGCAACTAAACAAATATATTTGGGAAATAAAAGTGGGGACACTTATTTGTCTCTTTGGGTTTAAAGGCAAGACGTTGATTTAACCAAAATATGCTTTCTTTAAAATTTTGAAATAAGCACTCTAGGCGCTAAATTGAGCATTTGCAGTACTCTTTTGCATCACCATCCCTTATGAAAATAAAGTGCACACACACACACACAGATGTACAGATATTCATCCTATTATTCACCTGTGCACACACCCATCAGTACCCGTCTACTCAGCCCCTACTCACAAAAGCATACTCATAGGTATCTTCTTTTAATTTTTCTACACACATTTTTAACATACATTCATCCATCAATATAACACACCCATATATACAAATCTTTTTTCTGTATGTTAGTCTTTCACATCAGAACACGAGTTTGCACACGCACGCAAGATAAATACTCTTGTGTGCACAACCCTACTCAACACCTGCTGCAATGCATTCTCCCACTCACACACAGGCATTCATGGAAACCTCGTGACTGAGACACGTGCATTGAAAGATGTGGAAGCCAAACGAAAGAAATACGATGTTGGGAATGGATGCCGGGAGGTGTGGTGAAGATATTGGCAAAGATTGGATGGATTCATCAAAATAAAGTTGGAGGAAGAGGAGGAGGAGGAAGTGTAAGAAATATGCATTGATTAGAAGGTTGGAGTAGGGAAACTAAGAATGAAAGAAGGAAAAATGAAAAAAAAATCAATGAAGGACATGAAGAGTGAAAACAAAGGTAGGGAAAGGAGGAAGGAAAACAAGGGGAGAAAGAAGAAGAAAAGCAAAGAGGGTGAAGAGGGATGAAAACAAAGAAAGTGAAAAGGGAGGAAAACAAAGAGGGTAAGGAGGAAGGAAAACAGAGTGAAGAGGAAGGAATGAAAAGAGGGGAAGGAGGAAGGTATGAAAAGAGGGGAAGGAGGAAGGTATGAAAAGAGGGGAAGGAGGAAGGTATGAAAAGAGGGGAAGGAGGAAGGTAAAGAAAAGAGGGGAAGGAAAGGTATGAAAAAGAGGAGAAAGAGGAAGGTATGAAAAGAGGGGAAGGAGGAAGGTATGAAAAGAGGGGAAGGAGGAAGGTATGAAAAGAGGGGAAGGAGGAAGGTATGAAAAGAGGGGAAGGAGGAAGGTATGAAAAGAGGGGAAGGAGGAAGGTATGAAAAGAGGGGAAGGAGGAAGGTATGAAAAGAGGGGAAGGAGGAAGGTATGAAAAGAGAAAGAAAAAAGAATAACTCTCCAAGAATGGAATAGAAAAAGAAAATTCCAACTAAAAGAAAAAAATCATTGTAGACAAAGAAAGAGAGATTTAATGACAATGGTCGTGGCAGGTGGGTAGAAAGAAAATGATGCAATAAATTAACTTGTAAATGGGGGACAGTTGGTTGGGAAAGAAATTTACTGAGGGGAGGTGGAGGTAAGGTAGTGCCAAGAAACAGTAATCAACACTGCCATTTTAAGATCCAAAGAAACACACCCTCAATGTTGGCATGATGTTGGGGTGGTCAGGTCTTGGGAAAAATAACTGACACTAAAAATAATTCAATGGTAAGTATGAGAGATGGTATACCAGAAACCACTTGATCAGTGTTGTTTTATATGTATGAGTTACCAAGAAGGCACAGAAATTCAATGTTCTAAGTAAACAATGGAAAATGTGACACAAATCCAAATGCATATAGGAATGGCTTCCAGAAACTAAATAAAATATTGAAACTGCAGTAGTATCAACTTGTATGTTGATATTTATTCTGTAACAAGCCAAAAGACTTTCAGATCAGTTGAGACAGATCGTACTTATCACAGAGTTGGTGGGTAAAACAATATATTTTGAATCCTTAAGTTTCTCAGAATGGTCCCTTATTCTATTTTTAAATATTTTATGAGTCTTTTATTTCACATTGAATATGAGATAATTATGGTATTGGAGGAGTATTTTCTATGTAATTCTCCACTTCATGTTAATTGAGGATTATAAATTTTAAGTGCTCTTAAATAGAATCCGATGATTATTTCAGATTTTGTTGTTATGGTGAGAATAAAAATTTATGAGGTCATTTTTATTAGTTGACTTGTGATAGACACTTAGTATTAAGCTATTATCATTATGGCATAACATATGTAGGAAAAGTGAAGTATTGTTTGTTTCTGTTTTGTAAGCAAGGAATTTTGGTGATTGCAATTTTCTGTTTAAGGGATAAATCAAACTATTCTAATAATAATATGTAAAACTAGATGCATTTGTAGTCTGCAGATTTTTGTTACATTTCAGGGAAATCAATGTTAGGTTATATTTAGATTCTAAATTATTATCATAAATGATACCACAGGAATCTTTCGGTTAATAAAATATATATAAAAAGTGAATCATTATTTTCTATTTCAAAAGGTAAATATAACAGTTGGTTGAGCTTGTTCACAATATTTTTATATCAATGTTCTCAGGTTAATTATTAAGATTTCAATATAAGTGATGTATAATGAGTTCTTTTTGGGTTTATTTTTTTTAAATATTATAATTGAACTTTCTATGCTTCCTTTTATTACACTAGTTTTAGTTTTATTTCATGATGTAAGTAAAAATGGGGTATGGTGGAGCAATGGATAGCAGCTCAGATTGAGGAATTGGAGAGCCAAGTTCAAATTCCAATCAAATCCATTACATTCACTTATATGTTAATACCCTTGGGAAAGGTAGGAATACTCTTGTCCTCTCCCCCAGCTATGGGTGAATAATAGGATGGCAACTGGTCTACTGCAGAAAGAAATGGCAACCTACTGCAGGAAAAAGTCTGCCTCGTCAGTCAGGTATTGAAACACACATGATCGCCTAAGCGTGTATCACGTATGGCCCATAACTGACTGAAGTAAAAATGTATGTAGTCATTCTTATTTCTTGATTTTTGATATTCTTTGAATTTTAACTTAATACTGGATCTAATTAGTAAAATGTCTAAAGAAAGGGAATTATTATTTTCTATTTCAAAGGTAAATCCAATCATTGGTTCAACTTGGTTGAGTCCATTAAAAATATTTTTTATTAAGACATTTTTCATGTTCATACATTCTTTTTATAGATACAAATATTTAAGTAAATGCTCTGTTTATAATAAACAGTATTAACAACATTTACTGACCTGAATAAAAAAATAATTATTGGACTTTGTCCATTTCATAATGTGTGACATCATTTGTTTACATTTGGATACACATTGAGCAGATATGAATGTATGAGAGAAAATCATAGAGAATTGTGTTTAAAAACAATGAAATCGACCTTGCTAACTGAATGCTCCTCTGTGGCCTAATCAGTTAAGGCATGTCAGGCTATATGATAGTTCCGTATAGGATACAGGTTCGATTCCTGTCAGAAGACGCATATTTTCTGTGAAAATTTCTCAGACATTCAGGCTGGTAAATGTTATTAATACTGTTTATTATAAATAGAGCATTTACTTAAATATTTGTATTTATAAAAAGAACGTATAAATTGTTGGGGCGCACCCACCTTCTAACTAGAAATGGACTGGTCCCTCTTATATAAGTCAGCTCTAGAGAAAGGACGGGAGAGCGAGAGACAGAGCGACAGCAGTCCAGATAAGCTTACCCGTTACATACCATTGGATTATAGACTTTGGATATTGTTTCGTACTAACCAACCTTCGTTCTACTAATCACTCTATTGTTAATTGCTTTTATGAATATACCAGTATTTTCCTCTACAACTGTGTTTGTCTTGATTCATACACCGACACGCGGGAAACTCACAACAACTCAACATAAATATAAAAAATGTCTTAAAAAATAATTGTCGGACTTTGTCCATTTCATAATATTTTTTATATTAATGTCTTTAACGTTAATGAATTAATGAATAAAACATCATTAACATATCTAAGAGTTTTTGTTTCTTTTTTTTTTTTGGAAGAATATTAAAAGAAAACTTTAATAATAAATGGATACTTTAAAGAGTGAAGCCATCTGGAGTTGCAACTCCTGTAGAGCTACTCATGGTGGTAAGGAGAAGGAGGAGGGACCAGACGGAATGCAACCAATCCCCAAAGACCACAACGGCAGAATGAACAAAGATCTACACAATCACAACGACCTTGACAGACCAAGCATCTGACAGCTTGATGCAAGCAGGTTTGCCAGGTCATGCCTGTTTCAATCCGCTAGGAGCTACAAGGTAGACACTGCAGTCCAAGTGTGCAGGCCTCTCCATCACAGAGAGTTGTTCACCAAAATGAAATCTGTGTAAATGGCCTTATCAAACTCTCTTTAACTACTCTTCAGGAGTAGGCTGGGTCTTCACAACCATCTCCGCCACCGCAGTGGACAGAGGGAATACAGAGAGAGGATCATGGTCCCAGTGTTTGGATGAGAATGGGTGCAGACTACTAAAGAGGGGGAAAAAAAAACAAAAAAAACACTGCTTCCTTAATAAACAATATGTCAAAATAGAATTTAAATGAAAATAATTGGGTGCAGTTATCAGTGAAGACTTGCAGAAAAATCTGATCTCTTAATTTTATCATTAAAGTTTTTTTTCTTAATTCTTTCTGGTTTTGAACATAAAATTAATAAAAAGAAAGTTGAAATAACTACAAAGTGAGTAACAGTGACTGCTATGTTAAAAGTACAGGGAATCCATTGTATCATAAAACAGGCATAATATCCATAGGCCTTTGTTCTTTGAAGAGGGTAGCAACATGAACAGATGACACAGTGTCGTACTGAAGAGCAACACAAGTCTGAGTTAGAAATAATAAGAGTGGTGGTAGGAGACATTTAATGGCACATGAAAGTCGAGAACAGGTTGGAACAGAATTGCACATTAATATCAAAGACATTGGATAATCACAGAAGGAATATAACTTCCTTGGCATTGAAGGCACCTGTTTTTTCTTTCTCTCGTTCAAGAAATGCTATGTATAGAAACATTTTCAAAAAGCTTCAAACAAAGAAGGCATGAAACGAGACAAACAAAGAAGCAAGCCTCCCCATTATTCATATTTTAAATAAATCAAAATGATGTGCATCTTTCATATTTTGGTAAATATTTTTTTTTAATCATTTCACCCCAAGCATGGCAATAAAGCCACTAAGATTCAAGTGTTAGAGAAAAAAATCCCTATTAAGGAGAGAGAACATTAAAAGAACAAGACAGTAGATAATGATCACTGCTAAAAATACTGCACTATATATATATATATATATATATATATATATATAAAAAAAGCTTAAACACATGTTTATAATTTATTACATTGGAATCGCAATTATGAACTTGTATGTCTGATGAATTGGATTGTAATTGCGATTCCAATGTAATAAATTATAACCATGGAATATTAGTGTTTAAGCCTTTTTATTATATTCTTACTCTGTCCTGGACATTGAGTTCTACCTGGATTCTATCCTCTTGGAATATATATATATATATATATATATGTATTTATATATATATATATATATATATATATATTTATATATATATATATGTGTGTGTGTGTGTGTGTGTGTATTAACCACGTATATTATCTATATATATATATATATATATTTTGATAATGTAAGTGGTTAATATATATATATATATATATATATAGCTTCGTCAGAGATCAAGATAGAAGTGAAAAAAAATGATAAAAAGCAAAGAGACTCAGATTAATGGTGCTTTGTGTTTGGCTATTTCTTATTGCTTAGATACATGTCACTTGTACTGAAGTGATAGATAATATTTAAATATGTGTAGCAAACATTCTCAATGCTAAAGTGTGTAAAAATAAGATGCAGCAGAATATTTGATTGGATATGTGTCACGTGTAATGGAGTAACAGACAATATTCAAGTAAGTGTAAGAAAACATTCTGGATGCTAAAGTGTGTAAAGGTTAGTGAGATGCAGCAGGATGTTTTGAAAAATTTTTCATTAAACATATCTTTTGTGTATTTTGTATACATATTGATTTTTATGTATTCGGAAGTGATAAGTTAGATTCATGAATATTATCTGTTACTTACATATCAGAGACACTACTTGGTTTCAGTGAGAAAATATAAGAAGCGAAGACAGAAGTGTTTATCGGCTGTTTCAGTGAAATGGCAAAGTTGTCAATTTCAAATCTTTTCATTTATACCAACTTCTTAAAACAATGACCAGCATTCCTATTTATGACTGTTATTGCAATATTTTGTTAAAGCTGTTCAGTGGAATTTCTACAGATATTTTTTTGTTGTAGAATTCACTATGAGCTTATTCAATCATTAAGTGAAGAATTAAAATTCATAGGAAAACTCTGAAATTTTCACAGGTCTTTCTTGTAAAGGATCTATATTTACCTAACTCTAAAGTTAATGCTTACATACTTAAATATCATAATCCCAAGTCCCCTAACT